AGCCAGATTTGCGAAACTATTTGTATTGTTCGAGTGATTTTGAGAGGTGCTGTCGACTTTTGCACGTAACTCGGGCTGTAGGATAGCTACGGAGCTCGGGCGCACAGAAAACGATCCAGAAGCATGAGGGGCGTTTGGCTGTTGCATCGAGAGGTCTGAAATTGTTTCGGATAAAAAACTATGCGTTCTCTGCAATTTTTCTCGACATTATATATGCTCAGGAAGCTCTACGAGTCCCCCGGCGGTAAGGAAGGTTGACGGTTTACCGCCGGCGCCCAGTATAATAAAACATAGATATTTTATTACTTTGTGCAGAGCTGGAAGGGGATGCCGAGCCATTTCGCACCGCGAGTAGAGATAGCAGACGTTGAGAGACCCGACACCAAAGGAGCAGGAAGAACTTGCCATGCGTTTGGCACGAATTGCCGAAAGACAAACCGTGAGGGACTTGGTCAGCCCTGGGATCGAAATTGAACTAAAGGGGGACAGCTTATTAATAAACTCATGGCTCAATGGGCGTTGGCGTTGTGACAACAAACTGTACTTGCAGTGAGTGGGGGGATGTATTGACTCAATGGAACAAGCCGTTGGGGGCTGGGGAGCACGTAGTTCTGGCCTGGGGATGGATATCTACATACATGACTAAAGGGTAGGTAGCACGCGCGCGGACCAGCTAACCCACTTGGCCCGTGAGGGCCGCACATTCTATAACACGTTCAAGTTTCAATATGGTTTCGAGGACTTCCTTCAACCGATCGCCATCCGTGGGGCCTACGACGGAGGCGTGTGCAGCAAAGGAACGGGATGTGGTTTTTGGCTGCATATAGGCTTCGCCAACCGCCGATATGACCAATATTCTTATCATCCGTATTCTGTCTCCCCTTTTCCTCCTTCCTCCTCCTTCCATGTGTCATCCTCCACGCCTCTCGTTTGGAGGGGCGTTGCCGTAGCCGCGTGGACTCTTGAAGAAGGGGCCGCAATCACTTTTGCCGAACTCTCTGCTGCTGAGGCACTCTCTAGTGCAGCCCGCATTTTTTTTTGCGGCAGCTTCACGCCTCTAGCTGAACACAGCTGGACCACAGGTGCGAAAACCCACAAAAAACATGGTTGACGGTTTACCGCACGCTCCAGTTTTGCCAGGATTCGGATGCGAAGGACGACATGGTCCACAGCGCACTGGAACGCAGCACAGTTCAACACGGCACGGCGCAGTACAGTTCATCACAGCACGGATCAATCGCAATTTTTGCCAGCTTCGTGGCCCTGGGGGCGCACATCGCTGATTTTCGAAATGTCTTGGCCGTCGGAGTGCGGCTCCCTCGGGTGAGCCGAAACGTATGCAGTTCGTCCCAGTCTTGGTTCGGCTTGCCTTGATTTGATCAGGGTCGGCTCTCGTTGTTTCGTTTCTTTTCGTCGTGTTTCGATCCGTTCATTGTCGGTGCGTTTCGCCACGGTTCGGATCCTCCCCCTCTTGGTTCGCACCGTTTTTGAATGGAATCGGATTTTTATCTCGAGCTGGTTGATCGTCCCGCTCGTTTCGATCGCTAATAGTTTTGGGCCAGCTATGCGTTCAGCCAGCTCTTGTGTCAGATCGAGGACAGTTTTGTCAGGATTCGGATGCCAAGGACGACGTGGCCCACAACGCAATATAGAGCACAACAGTTCAGCGCGGCATGACACACCTCAATCCAGCCCAGCACGGCACAGCAGAGCCCCTGGACGGGTACTTCACTGCCGATACCCTCAGCATTGCAGTGTCCCGTTGTCCGGCCAGGTGTCTTCAACGCGTTCCCACGCTTCTTTCCACACACACACACGCACACTCCTTTCCGGGTCCGTGGGGATTCTGCTGCTTCTTGGGGCAGACTAGGGGCCCTTTGGGGCCGACTTGAGGGGGCCGTCTTGAGGCCGTCCTGAGGGTCTCTCCGCTCCTCGCGGGGCTCTTTGGCCTCCCCTGGGGCGCTCCAAGGGCTGCCGCGGGGGTTTAGAGGCCACCGCACAGGGAGAGCGTCGGCACCTCTGCGATACACACCTGCCGTGCCCTTGCTGGGGCCCTGCTGGGGTGCTTCCCTGCCGTGGCCCCCGTTCGGCCGCCACTCAGGGGCAGCATTCGGGGGAGACAGGCTCAGGGGCCTCAGGTTCGAGGTTCGAGGTTCGAGGTCTTCGGGGCGATGTGTTGGCTCTCTGGGGTGTCCTTGCTAGCCTCGGGATGCCTTCCAGCGGCCGCGCCTCGCCGAGAGCGATCTGGGTGCCCCAGGATCGCTCCGAACGGCCGCGGGAGGCCCGAGTTGCGGCCCGAGAACAGGTCGGAAAGAGCGTGTTCTACCGCTGCTGGCGGAAAACCGGGGGGGGTCACTACCGGTTCGAACCCCCTCCCCCCCGCGGAAAACCAGGGGGGGTCACTGCCGGTTCGAACCCCTCCCCCCCCCCCAGTCCATCATGAAAAGGGGGGGGTCACCTCCGGTTCGAACCCCCCCCCACCCCCCCTCCTCGAAAACCGGGGGGGTCACTGCCGGTTCGAACTCTCCCCCCCCCCCCGAAAACCGGGGTGGGGGTGCGGACAGTGGTGGGGGCGGTGGTGGTGGGGACAGTGGTGAGGGGACAGCGGGACAATGGTGGGGACAGTGGGACAGTGGTGGGGATGGTAGTGGTGGGGACAGTGGTGAGGACAATGGTGGGAACAGTGGGGACAGTGGGACAGTGGTGGGGACGGTGGTGGTGGGGACAGTGGTGTGGGGACAGTGGGAATGTGGTGGAAACATGGGACAGTGGAGGGTACAGTGGTGGTGGGGACAGTGGTGAAGGCGGCGGCGAGGACGGCGGTGGGACAATGGGACAGAGGTACAGTGGGGACAGTGGTGGGGACAGTCGGGACAGTGGTGGGAACAGTGGGACAGCTCAGTGGGACAGCGGAGGAGTCAGTGGGACAGTGGGGACAGTGGGGATAGTCGGGCAGTGGTTGGGGCTGTGGAGAAAGTGGGGAGAGTGGAACCGTGGTGGGAACAGTGGTGGGACAGTGGGGACAGTGCGACAGTGGTGGGGGCACTGGTGGGGATAGTAGGGAGGGTGGTGGAACCAGTTGGGACAGTGGTGGTGAGGACAGTGTTGCTGGGAACACCAGTGGGGGATGTGGTGCGGACGGTGGTAGCGACCGGGAGTCGTTTGCCGGTGGTGAGGGGGGGGGGGGAGGGGTTCGAACTGGTAGTGACCCCCTTCCGGTTTTCGAGGGAATGGGGGGGCCGGTTTTCAAGGGGTGGGGGTGGGGGGGGGGGGTTAGGGGAGGGGGGGGGGTTTTGCCAGGGGGAGGGGAGGGGGGGGGAATCCAGCAGGGGGAGTGGGGATTTTCGGAGGGGGGGGACCCCCGGGTTCCGGAGGAAAATGGGGGGGAATTTTTCACAGTAAAGCGGCGGTGGATCACGCTCTATCACAGGTCGACGAAGATCCCTCAGGGTCAACGTTACGAGGGGGATTCGCTATCGGTGCGTATTGCCGATCTATCGGCGATGTATCGCCGATTCCAGGTCAGTGTGTCTCGCTCACCTGCGAGCTAACGTTGCCCCTCACCCCCAGGGTCTGCCACGCGCGCGTGAACTTGCAATGTACAAGTCTTTTGAATTTCTTATCGGGGTTTTCAGAACGTTTTTAGCCCGTGGGGCTGGCGAATCTCGCGAAACCCAAACTGCATCTTGCCGTCCGTTTCTCTTTGTCCACGGACGGGGCAACCGCGGCACAACCGAGTGGAAATTGACCCCGGAGCCGGCGCGGGGCGACCGCAGGACAGCCGCGGGACAACCGCGAAGTGCCGGCGGGACATTTGTGGGACAACCGCGGGACAGGCGCAGGGTCACCACAACGACCACAGGACGAACACATGACAATTCTAGGCCAACCACAGGGCAGCCGTGGGACGACCCTGGGGCACCGTTGAGGACCCCGAAAGCGGAGACATTTTGCCGAAGATGCCTCGAGCTGGAGCTGGTCTTCGCTTTCCGCCCGCTCGCGCAGCTTCGCTTCTCCCGCGCTCTTCACGAGACGGGCGAACCGAAACCGATTTCCCAATTTGGTCCATTCCGTTTGCGCTCCGAGGCTCTGACTCCAAGAGGGAACAATGTCATGGTATACGAAGCGATGCAACGTGACGCAAGGCAATTTGTAAACAACGCATCGATTCATGGGGCCTTCCACAAGGAACAGGGGGGCGGTCCTCGGTGTCGGACTTCTGGGGATCTGGGAAGCGGGCCCGGCCACACCGTTGCCCACAGGCCCGTGGCACAGCTCGCGGTTTTCCCTCGATTTTCTGCGATCGGTGGTACCCTTGAAGAGTCTCTGCGGCCACCGAGCCATGTTTGGGCCGTCCTGGGCTCTCACAGAGGCATGCTGGAGGCTACCTTGTACCAACTCGGGTGATCCTGCGCCATCTCGGATGGTGTCTTGCGCTATCTGGGGCCCTGATGAAGCCGCCTATGGTCCTCCTGGACGCTGCGACCCTCCGCGGACGCCCGTGGTCCAGATCCCCAGCAAGGGGCGTTCTGGGGGAAGAAAGGTGTTTTCTGGACGAGCTGAGGCTCAGGACCACCCTTCGACTCGGGGCTGGGCGTGAGGATCCACGCCAGGTTTGGCCTGGGCCGTTCCAAGGGCACATCGAGGGGCAGTGTCAGGGGCGGATAGGCGAAGGGGGCCAGAGCGCAGCGACCCCCAATCGCCTATTCGTCGCCGACGGGGGCCTGATGGCCCACCCCGCCCAGGAAACCACCGTTTCGCCATTGGGGGCCTGTCGCCGATCTATCGGCGATGTATCGCCGATTCAAGGTCGATGTTTCCCCCCCGAGCCAGTCCCCCCCCCACATCGTTCCCCCGCAGCACCGGTGCGCCTTCTCCTCCTCTTCTCCCCCTTTCCTCGTGGCCTGCGCCCCTCCTCCGCTGCCCTGTCCGTCCTCGCTGCGCGTCAGCCCCTCGAGCCGTCGAGGCAAGAGCGAAGAGCGCGGTCCGATCACGCGCCGCGACGAGGAGAACGAGGACGGGGAGAAGGAGTAAGCAGGAGGAGGACGTGGCGATCAGCCATCCGTTGCCAGCTCTGCTACAGTGGATTTTTTCGCTGGCTGTAGCCTTCCTGGGGCAGAGTTTTGCGTCTTGCTCGCTGCCACCCAGATCTTGTCCGGAGCCATGGCGATGGTATTCCCCGCGAACCAAGCTATCGTCGTCGGCGGCGGCTTGGCAGGCGTGTCCGCAGCCAACACGGTTCTCGAGTGCGGGGGCAAGGTCGTTTTGGTAGACAAGTCCTCTTTTTGCGGCGGCAACTCGACAAAGGCGACCAGCGGCATCAATGGTGCGGAGACGAAGACGCAGAAGGCCAAGGGCATCCAGGATTCCCGCGATCTCTTCACCAACGACACCTTGAAGGGTGGGGCCAAGCGTCCGGAGCTCGCTAAGATCCTTTGCTGGAACAGTGGCGCAGACGTGGACTGGCTTGTCGACAAGTTCGACCTGGACCTGTCTCTTGTGGCGCGCCTCGGTGGCCACTCGGCGCCGCGCACTCACCGTGGCGCGGAGCGCTTCCCCGGCATGACCATTACCTACGCCCTGATCCAGATGCTTGAGAAGGCTCTGGAGGGAAAGCTAGACAGAGACACAACAAAACTACGATTGCCGATAAAATATGGGGAACTCGCTGGGAAATTGAGGGGAAGATGAAACGTCAGAAGATATGACAAACTATGGGGAATTCGGGAAATTGCGTCTCTTTGCTCGTGTCTCCCTGGGCCCTGTAAAGGTTGCAGAGAAGACGGACCGTGCCCGCATCATCACCAAAGCCTGCGCCCACAAGCTGCTGACCAACACGTCGGGGGGCAAGCTCTCCGTAGTGGGCCTGGTCTATTCCAAGAACGGTGAGGATCTCGAAGAAGGAAAACATGAGTTTAATCCATAAGCTTTAGGAGGTCCGCCAAGATGTCTTGGCATTGTGCTGGGCCTCCCCCCCGGGCGCGCGGAGCGCGCCAGGGGCGGCTCCCGAGGCGCCGCCAGGGGGTCCAGCGCCGATCCAAGAAATCCGCGCGGAGCTCCGAACATTTGGTACGATGCCGTTACTTCTTTGTCCAGGATTTCAAGGAGTTCGGCCCCGTGATCTTGGCCAGCGGTGGCTTCGGCGCCGACTTCACCACGAACTCGCTGCTGGCGCAGTACCGCCCCGACCTGCTCCATCTGCCTACCACCAACGGCGAGCACTGCACTGGCGACGGAATCAAGATGGGCGAGGCAATCGGCGCGCGGACCATCGACCTGGAGTGGGTCCAGGTGCACCCGACGGGGCTGGTGAAGCCAGACGACCCCGATGCGAAGATCAAGTTCCTGGCTGCAGAGGCCCTGCGCGGCGTGGGCGGGCTGGTGTTCGACGCCAACGGCAAGCGCTTCGCGAACGAGCTGGGCCGCCGGGACTACGTGACCGGCGAGATGTGGAAGAACAAGCCGCCCTTCCGCCTCTGCCTGAACAAGGCGGCCTCCGACGAGATCAGCTGGCACTCGGGGGCGAAACGCATATCCGTACCCGCGGCCTCGCGGGCTGGGATACGGGGCGCTTTTTCGCGGATGCCCGCGCAGAACTTATGCGTACGACCGCGTGTCCGCGGGATCGCGCCCCAGAATCCAGACCGCGAGGGCGCGGATGCGGACATGTTCGCCGCTCGTGAGGCACTGCAAGCATTACACTGGCCGCGGCGTCATGAAGTTCTACGAGAATGGCGAGGCCCTCGCCAAGGACATGGGGATCCCGGTGTCTGTGCTCGAGGAGACCACTGAGCTGCACTACCAGGCGGCGAAAAAGACGGAGAAGGACCCGGATGGCGGCTCCTGGCCTGCCTACCCGTCCGGCAAGTCTTGGGACGAGCCCAGCGGCAAGACGGGCTCCGGCAAGAAGTTCTACCACAACATCATCCCGGGCTCCGCCGTGAAGACCCAGCCGTTCTACGTCGCCATCATCACCCCCGTCATCCACTACTGCATGGGCGGCCTGGAGGTGGACGTCGACTCCGCGGTGCTGGACACGAAGAGCGGCAAGGCGATCCCAGGCCTGTACGCCGCGGGCGAGGTGGCTGGCGGCATCCATGGCAACAACCGCCTGGGCGGGAACTCCCTGTTGGACTGCGTCGTCTTCGGCCGCGTCGCTGCCAAGGCCGCGTGCAAGTACACGTTCGGTGCGGACGGCAAGTACCAGCTGTGCCCCGTCCCGAAGCAGATCAAGGATCTCGCGTAGAGTGCTCGTGGCCGCGCGTGCCGCCCCAGTCATTGCCTCCTCGTTCCCTGATGTGTTCCCTCTGCCATCGTGGGAGAAAGAAGGAGCCGGCGTAAACATACACTTTCGGAGCTGCGCTCGGATCTCTTAGATATGCGCTGGGCCCCCTCGGCGACGCCTCTGGCGCCGCCCCTGGCGCGCTCCGCGCGCCAGGCAGTGGCGTCCAGCGCCGACCCGAGAAACCCGCGCGGAGCTCCGACGGTTTATGGTTATGCGGTTGCTTCTCCCTCGGATCATATCCTCTTGTCCCTTCTTCTCTCTTCCCTCCTCCTCGTCCCCTTCCTCCACTGTGGCAGCCCTCTATGCACCAGTCGTGTCGGAGGGCATCGCTTCCGCGGTGAGTGAAGGCTCACTTGCTTCCACGATCGGACGTCCTCCGAGAGGAAAACAATCGGTCCCGCCGGCTACCTCGCGTTCCGGGCGTAGGCCTTCCAGTTCATTCAGCAGGCTTGCGCCATTCCCCCGGGCACCCGAGAGGTGGATGGGCGAGTTCGAAGTATAAACATAAACTGTCGGAGTTCCGCGCGGATGTCTTGGAATTGTGCTGGGCCCCCCTCCCTGGCGCGCGGAGCGCGCCAGGTGCGGCTCTGGAGGCGCCGCCAGGGCGGCCCAGCGCCGATCCAAGAACTCCGCGGGGAGCTGCGAAAGTTTGTGTTCATGCCGCTTTTCCTGTCTCTACGACTGCAGCTCCCTCCGCTTTCGCTTTCCCTGCGGCCCGACCAGAAGCAATGCCCAGCATCTGGAGCATTGCCATTGGCACGGGGATGCCGACGGCAGTTCCTGCCCCTCTTCAGGCGGGCTCGCAGGCGGAATCTCGTTTGGGACGAAGGGCAGTGCTGTCGTGGTGTGAGGGGTTGGTGGTTGCTTCAATGCACAAGTCAGCGCTACAGGATTATCTTATTCATTGTTTTGTCGATCGGCCCGGGCCCTCGCACCTCCCCTCCCCCTCGATGACATAGATCTTGGCTGTTTTTGGCACCTGTTTCAGACCGGTGGAGTCTCAGGCCCCCCCCATACGGCAATAGGACGGGCTTCTCGGGCCATCCTGCGGCACTCTGGGAGTTCGTCGTCCTCATAGCACGTCCAGGACCTCCAGGACAGCCCAGCCAGAAGCCGAAAAGGTGTGCGAGGGCGCCCAGGAGTCCTGCGAGTTGGGGGTCTGGGCCCCTAAAGATATGTACCAGAATGTAAGTGTTGAGGACTCGAAGGGACTAGATGATGCTCGAGTAAGTGCCTACAGCACGGTGGCAGATCTGATAGCTTCCTTGGTTGTTTCATGGGCAGACTCGCTTGTACTGGCTTTTAGCAATCGCCGTATTTTGTTCGATGACGTTGGTGATGGAGGCTGTTTTCCTACCGTTTTCAGCGTTGGCTTCTAAGAGCTTCGCGCACCTTTCTTGTTCCAAGTCTTTTGTCATTTGAGGTGGTTTGAGTGCTTTTGTATTGAGCGTCTTCTTAGGTTCGCTTTGTGTGGGGCTTCATAACGACCCAAGATGGCCCGAACAGGCACCAGAGAGGCCGAGAGGGCCAATCATGTCTCAGCATGTCGCTATGATTGTGCGTTGCGCAGCATTGGTCGTCCTTCTCCGCGGCCGTTTTCAAACCTCAAGGATATTCTTGCTGCGCCATCAGGGGCGCACGGACCGCCCCCCGCGGAAGTGGATGCTCATGGTCTGGCTCACTTCCACTGCCCCGCTGCAGGTGGCGACGATCAGCATGGTGACTGCCTTCTCCGCCTGGGTGGTCCGCGGCCTTTTCTCGGACGCAGGGGAGTCTGCGCGGGCCGCGGGCAAGGCGGAGGTCAGGTACCCAGAGATCCCCGACCCGGTGTGCCAATGTCATTGCGAGTGCGAAGCAATGCGGGGGTCACCAAACTTGGCAGCTCATGTTTGGCCCAGTGATCTGCCTCGGCTGCTCGGGCGTGCAGGTGGGCGTCGCGTGCGTACAGGATGGAGCAGGTCGGGCTGCCGTTGCCGATGGGGTCGGAGCGATGCCGATTTTCCGGCGAGCGTTTGTGCAGTGAGCGGGCGCGAGCGGGGAGTTGTTGCACGAGCGGGTGTTTCTGAATGATGTGTCCGTAAGGTTTGTCACGATAGCGAGCCCAGATTGCGATGTACGACGAGGGCATGGGATATCAGGGGACTTTCGAGCTGGTACGGAGCGTTGGCGACAACGGGGTGTTTTGGGCCCAGATTCGGGGGCGCTCAAGTTTACAGATTTTAAGGGCAACCGACAGATGCAGAGGTCGATAACTTGCTGGCGGAGGCGATCGGTGTCGTGGCGCTCAGGGGGCCAGCACGGCATCGGTGAGCTCATGACGATGCTTGCCGGTGCAGTGCAGGCGACTTGGCACGGGCTTACGCGTCTCCCTGACATCCAGGTCCCGAGGCCTGCTCTCGTCGGGCAGCTGAACAACTGCCAGGCGGAGATCGACACCTTCTGAGAGGAGTGGACCAAGTGGTGCCAGGCAGCGACGGCGTCGAGCGCGAATGACCAGGTCTTGGGCGACGACATTGGCCGAGGACAGCTGAGTGGCATCGCCGGGGGGCCATCGAGATGTCGGAGGGGCCGCGGGCCCAACATCTGAAGTGGTTGGCGGATGAGAAGATCCCGGATGGAGACCGCTCGGCGTATGAGGACGCCAACCTGGCGCTGGTGCATGAGTTCGCGGTTATCGCGCCGAGCTGCGAGGACGGGGCGCGCTTCATGGGCGACTGGGTGCGCGCCGGGGGCGCGTTGGGGGCCCCAGTGCTCTCGGCCAACGTGTCGGATCGGGTGTGGGAAGAGGCGGCCATCTCAAAGGAGCAGCGCAAGGCTCGCCCGTGCCTCGGTAATTTCCTTGAGGGCCAGGTGCAGCAGACGGGTGTCGAGCTGGGGATGACTTCCCCAGCTTGGCCGTTGATTCGAATTTTAGGAGGAGTTATGCCAGTGTCCGAAGACGCTGGTACTGCTCAGGAGCCCGAGAATGTCCCTGGCAGGTATCGTCACGTCATTCCTCTTCCCCGACTTGCAGCGGGGCGGAGAGGTATCCTTGCGGGGATGTGCCGTTCGACGGCGCGGCGCCTGGCGGGGGGGTGGGCCGCGGCTGCCGCGGTTAATTTTCTGTCGACGGGTGAGTTTCATGCGCTCTGGCGCTTGGCCTGCGCCTGCCCCTCCGGGCGCTTCTGACCTTCTAAGCCCGCCGCAGTGCCAGCGCGCTGCCTTCGCTCGTCGTGTCTGCCGTGTCCGCGAGCTGGGCCTCAAGCCTCCTGGTGTCACTCGTTCGGGCGCCCTTCATGAGCTGTGGGTTTTGAGCATGATTATGCAGGGGGCCTACATGCCACAGGGCCCCTGGGCCCCCGTGGTTCAGCACTACCTTGCGTTTTCTGGCGTGGGTCGTTCGCAAGTTGATTTGGGGTCAGTCTTGGTGGGCTTGCCCCGAGAGTGCTGTCATATTCATGAAGAGAAGATGCTCGCGGGGGCCAGCTGTCTGACAAAGAGCCCCGAGTGCGTCCTACACGGGCCGGCTTTTGTGGGCGCCTTTTGGTTTTGCATATTGTGCCGCCGGGGTGGTTCGGCGCCCTGATTCTCGAATCGGGGCGTTCGTGGTTTTGGAGAAGTCCGGAATGCGACGTCCCGTCTTCGACTGCGGTCAGTGTTATCTTAGGATTGCCCCTCTTCCTCATGCCGAACATGGGCGCTGAAGTCCTCTTTGAGTAACCTGGGGGTCCAGGAAGGGCAGGCCCTGTAGTGGGTCCCAGGCGAGATTTATTCGTGCTAGCATTATGATGACTTTGCTTCGGAGTCTGTCGTGTTCGCGGGGAGTCTGGAGTTCGGCGTGTCGGGGGACGTCTTGAACATGTCAACATTTGATGAGGGAGCTTCGATGTGCTTGGTTGCCCCGCCCGCGGATGTACCTGGTCGTTCTGGGCGGCATATTGTGACAGCTGAATGCCGGTGTTGTTTCGCGCGAGGAACCTGGTGGCCTGCGCGATGAGCGGCAATAGAGAGAGAGAGAGAGAGAGAGAGAGAGAGAGAGAGAGAGAGAGATGGAGCACGGCGGCTTCGCTATCCACGATGTCTCCGGGCCCTGCCTCGACGTCCACGCGCCGGGCTCGGTTCCCCGGTCTCGGGCGCCGTCGGCCCCGGTCCCGGCGGGCTTTGGAGCCTGGTCGTGGCGCTCGATTGGGCGAGCGCGGGGCCCTGTGTAGTGGCGCCGACCGTCGAGAGGCTTGACCGCGGCGCGCTGCCGTGCGCCGCCGCTCTCGCGGCGCCGGGGTGACCTCGTGGCGCAGAGCGACAAGCTTGAACTCCTCCCGCCGAGTCTCTGCGAATCGCGTCGGATCTGCCTCTCGCCGTTGCCGATCTCCGTCAAGAAGTGGAATCCCACTGCCGCCTGCAGGTGCCTCGCCTACCGGCCACGGCGTCTACTGGCGCTACCTCGAGGTTGACGACGCACGAAAGATTGGGGGGGGTGGATGGAGAGGTGGCGGTGCAAGCGCCTTGTGCTTAGTCAGTGGGTCCCAAGGTCTTGCTCGTCAGGCTTAGATCTCCAAGAAGGCCTCGCTACTGCCTTGGCGTGTCTGGGCTCCTGGGGCTGCTCGAGAGGGCCTTTGGGATGATTCTGGAGATTGGGGTTCCTTCAAGTATGGCGTGGACCCCGACTTCCCCGAAGTGTTGTTGAGCCGCATGGCGCAAGGGTCTTGCGATGCGCTTTTGTGCGTTACCTGGATTTTCCTCGGCGACAGTATGGCGCGTAAGGAAGGCAGGGCTGCTGTGCCAGCGCAGAGGCGGTTGTATCGGACTCAGCGTAGCTTTGGAGAGCGTCGCCTGCTGCTCGTTGACGACGTAATGTTATGCTTTTGCCTGTCGAGAAGGCGTGCCCGTTCGTGCGGTTTGCTCAGCTTTTGCCCGCGGGCGGGCGTGGTTCTGCTTGCGCCAGCATTCGCCTTGGGCCGCGCTGGGTCCCGAGCGAGTTCTACGTGGCAGACGAGCCTTCCAGGTGCGAGAGGCAGGCGCACCCTGGCGATGGGCCCTGCGGCCAGCCAGTGGGGCAAGGAGGTGGGTCAGCTCGCGGCGCAGAGCCGGACGTTCGGGGTCGGCTGGGGCCACGGCGTCGGCGCCGCTCGGCTCCTGGAGGCTCCGGGCTCGAGCGCTGGCGACATGGTTGTCAACCGCCAGGCAAAGCCCAAGGAGAAGATGTGCTTGACGTGGCTGGCGGAGGCGCCGAAGGACAGCCGCCCTTTGCCGCCGCTGGGCAGCCATGCGGCGCTCGACCTGGCGTCGAACAAGAGGATGGCCGAGGAGGCGCTGGACCCGATCGGGAAGCGGCTCGACTGGTTGGGAACGAAATCTCGCCTCGAGGAGCTGGGCATCTCGGTTCGGATGAACCGCAATCGCGACTTCCACCTGAGAGAGGTCAAGGACTTCTGCACTGATAACGGTTTACTCACAGACAGTTCGGCGCAGACGGACCTGCTGGTCGTGAGCTACTTTGACCAGAAGTTCAGAAGTTCTTGGACGGGTACGGTCCCTCTCTCGCTTCGGTGTCGGGGAAGACCATCGCGGCCGTGCAGTTTGCAGAGCCTCGGACGAAGAACGCGCAGGTGTGGCGCCTAGTCAGGGCCCAAAGTTTTTGAAAGGATCGAGGAAACTCGCTTTGGCCAGGCAACGGATAGCAGGTGGCGGGGGGCAGACGGCGCGGGGGCGGCAGCAACGCAAACGGAAACCATCAGCGTAATCACGGGGTGTCAGGATGGAGGGCACCCCCAGGCGCCTTCCATCCTGCTTTCTCGTGCTCCTCCTGCTTCCTCCTCTTCCTCCTCGTCCTTCTCCTTCTCCTCCTCCTCCTCGTCCTCCTCCTCCTCCTCCTCCTCCTCCTCCTACTAATCCTTTTCCTCACCCGCCCTTCCTCCCTCCCTCCCTCCCAATGTCCATTTCCAGTCTCATCCCCATCTCCAGCCCCAATGCCGGGGTATCTTTGGACGGGGGAAGCAGAGAGCATGTAAAGGATGCCCATACGTAATCGAGGGATGCAGCGGCGCTTTTCTTCAAGGTCTGACCGCAGTCAGAATCCTCGACAACCGCTGGAGACCTCCACATTTCGGGGGCCGCTGGAGGCTCTCAGTATGCTTGCGTACAGGTTCGCAAACGGAGACTGGAGGAGGGAGTCGGAAGAGTCCAGAGGAGTGGGCGAGGGGAGGATGAGGGAATGTGGGAGACAGGGTGAGGGGACAAGGAGGGAGGTGGAAAGAGGGGGGGCACGCCTACGTAGGGGAAATGGGGGGGGGGTAGAGGCAGGAGGATTGCAAGGTGTAGATGTGAGGCTTGGACACGAGGGGGAGGAGGTTGGGTTGGACTACGCCATGTTGGGTAGCATCGCGCGACTGGGATTGTCCTTGGGTTCCTCGCATCTTTTGTTATCCAGCTGCCTGCGGGAGGTCCCGCCGCCATGCTAGCCTAGCACTTTGGATTGCGACTGTTTGCATGATGATGCTGATGCTGATGCTGATGCTGATTCTGCTGCTGATGATGAGGATGATGGTGATGCTGAGGCTGATGATGATGACGATGATGATGACGACGACGACAACGAGGATGATGCTGATGCTGCTGATGATGATGATGCTGATGGCGATGGTGCTGATCGTGATGATGGTGATGTTGATGATGCTGCTGCTGATGATGCTGATTTTCATGATGCTGATGGTGATGCTGATGATGCTGATGTTACTGACGATGCTGCTAACGATGACAATGATGATGCTGATGGTGGTGATGAACGTGATCATGATGATGATGGCAATGACGTTGACGACGACGACGACAACGACGATGACGATGATGCTGATGCTGCTGATGATGATGATGAAGGTTATGCAGATGATGATGCGGATTCAGCTGATGATGATGACGGCGATGATGATGATGATGATGATGATGATGATGATGATTATGATGATGATGATGATGTTGATGATGATGAACGTATTGATGATGTTGCTGACGATGCTGATGATGGTGATTATGATGCTGATGCTGATGCTGCTGATGGTGATGCTGATGATGATGATGATTGTGATGCTGATGGTATGATGGTGATGGTGATGCTGTTGCTGCTGATGATGATGATGGCGATTATTTTGCAGATGATGATGATGATGATGATGATGATGATGCTGATGATGATGGTGCTGATGATGATGATGCTGATGACGATGACGATGACGATGATGCTGATGATGGTGGTGACGATGATGGTGCTGATGCTGATGCTGATGCTGATGCTGATGATACTGATGCTGCTGCTGCTGAGGATGATGATGATTCTGATGATTACTATGATGATGCTGATGATGATGATGATGGTGGTGGTGGTGATGACGATGACGATGACGATGACGATGACGATGACGATGACGATGACGATGACGATGACGATGATGATGATGATGATGATGATGACGATGATGATGATTATGATGATGGTTCTGATGATGCTGATGATGACGACGATGATGATGATGATGATGATGATGATGCTGATGATGATGATGATGATGATGATGATGATGATGATGATGATGATGATGCAAGCCTGTCGCCCAGTGCCGTGTTCGGGGCAGGCCAGGTGGTGTTTCTTCGGTAAGTAGCCGAGTCGGGAATGATCAGCGGAATAATTTCTGATGATGTCTCGGGTGAAACGAACCCCTGTTTCATATAATTTGCAGAGGACGTCTAGCGAAACGCTTGCTTTCGTTTGTTGAGGATGTCTCGTGCGAGTCGCTGTTCTTCAGACTTTGTTCAGGATGTCTCATGCGAAGCGCTCGTTTTGTAGTGTTAAGAAGCCTGGACGCCACAGGACGCTCCAGGAGGCTTTGGGGCGCGGGGGCGCACCCATCGGATCCTTGGAGCTGTCGCATTTGGAGGGGCCCCACGCGCGGGGGGAGGAGGAGGAGGAGGAGGAGGAGGAGGAGGAGGAGGAGGAGGAGGAGGAGGAGGAGGAGGAGGCGGAGGCCTGAACTTCTCGGATCCTCTTGGCGAGCTACGCGTTCAGCCAGCTCGTTCGCAGTACCCCCTGGGGCCGCGGCGGGGCGACCGCAGGAGGTGCTGGCGGGACATCCGTGGGACAACCGCGGGACAAGCACGGGGTAGCAGAAGAACAGCCACAGGACAAGCACAGGACAACTGCGGGCCAACCACAGGGCTGCTTCGGGGCGACCCCGGGGCACCGTCGAGGACCCCAAACATGGAAGCATGTTTGCCGACGCAGCCTCGAGCTGGAGCTGGTCGTCGCTTTTCGCCCACTCGCGCAGCTTCGCCTCTCCCGCACGCGCGGCACGAGACGGGCGAGCCGAAGCCGATTTCCGAATGTGGTCATTCCGTTCGCACTCCGAAGCGCTAAGTCGAAGAGGTAGCAATTCAATGCAATGGTGCACAAATCGATTCAAAGTAACGCAAGACAAAACAACACTATGCACAGCATCGATCTAGGGGCTTTCCGCAAGAAACAGGGGCCTGTCGCCGATCTATCGGCAATGTATCGCCGATTCAAGGTCGATGTTTCCCCTCCGAACCAGTCCCCCCCCCCACATCGTTCCCCCGCAGCACCGGTGCGCCTTCTCCTCTTCTCCCCCTTCCCTCGTGGCCTGCGCCCCTCTTCCGCTTCCCTGTCCGTCCTCGCTGCGCGTCAGCCCCTGGATCCGTCGAGACAAGAGTGAAGAGCGCCGCCCGATCACGCGCCGCGACGAGGAGAACGAGGACGGGGGGAAGGAGTAAGCAGGAGGAGGACGTGGCGATCAGCCATCCGTTGCCAGCTCTGCTACAGTGGATTTTTTCGCTGGCTGTAGCCCTCCTGTGGCAGAGTTTTGCGTCTCGCTGCCACCCAGATCTTGGTCGGAGCCATGGCGATGGTATTCCCCGCGAACCAAGCTATCGTCGTCGGTGGCGGCTTGGCAGGCGTGTCCGCAGCCAACACGGTTCTCGAGTGCGGGGGCAAGGTCGTCTTGGTAGACAAGTCCTCTTTTTGCGGCGGCAACTCGACAAAGGCGACCAGCGGCATCAATGGTGCGGAGACGAAGACGCAGAAGGCCAAGGGCATCCAGGATTCCCGCGATCTCTTCACCAACGACACCTTGAAGGGTGGGGCCAAGCGTCCGGAGCTCGCTAAGATCCTTTGCTGGAACAGTGGCGCAGACGTGGACTGGCTTGTCGACAAGTTCGACCTGGACCTGTCTCTTGTGGCGCGCCTCGGTGGCCACTCGGCGCCGCGCACTCACCGTGGCGCGGAGCGCTTTCCCGGCATGACCATTACCTACGCCCTGATCCAGATGCTTGAGAAGGCTCTGGAGGGAAAGCTAGACACAGACACAACAAAACTACGACTCCCGATCACATATGGGAAACTCGCAGGGAAATTGAGGGGAAGACGAAACGTCAGAAGATACATCAGCCAACGTTGACTCCAAATAGATAGGAGGACAGGAGGAGGACGAGAGGAGGATGGCAGGAGGACGAAAGGAGGACGGGAGCAGGACGGGAGGAGGACCGGAGGAGCAAAATCAAGCAAACACAAGCGAGCAAGCGGAAGCAAGCAAGCGCAAGCGAGCAATAACAAGCAAGCAAGAGCCATCGATCAAGTGCAAGCAAGAAAAGGCAAGCAAGAGCAAGCAAGCAAGAGCAAGCACGCAAGCAAGAGAGCAAACAAGAGCAAGCATAGGACTCGCCGTTGGAAATAGCTGGGGGGTTCCATTGGAAATAACGGGGGTTGCCATTGAAAAAAGGTGGGGTGAGGGGGCGCCATTGGAAATAAGGGGGGCTGCCATTGGAAAAAAGGGGATTGGGTGCTAAAGATCAATTAATTGAGCTAGGACTCCTATAGGGCAAACCTGTTTGGATAATGACAAACTATGGGGAATTCGGGAAATTGTGTCTTTTTGCTTGTGTCTCCCTGGGCCCTGTAAAGGTTGCAGAGAAGACTGACCGTGCCCGCATCATCACCAAAGCCTGCGCCCACAAGCTGCTGACCAACACGTCGGGGGGCAAGCTCTCCGTAGTGGGCCTGATCTATTCCAAGAACGGTGAGGATCTCGAAGACGGAACAAATGAGTTTAATCCATAAGCTTTAGGAGGTCCGCCAAGATGTCTTGGAATTGTGCTGGGCCCCCCTGGCGCGCGGAGCGCGCCAGGGGCGGCTCTGGAGGCGCCGCCAGGGGGTCCATCGCCGATTCAAGAAATCCGCGCGGAGCTCTGAACGTTTAGTGCGATGCCGTTACTTCTTTGTCCAGGATTTCAAGGAGTTCGGCCCCGTGATCTTGGCCAGCGGTGGCTTCGGCGCCGACTTCACCACGAACTCGCTGCTGGCGCAGTACCGCCCCGACCTGCTCCATCTGCCTACCACCAACGGCGAGCACTGCACTGGCGACGGAATCAAGATGGGCGAGGCAATCGGCGCGCGGACCATCGACCTGGAGTGGGTCCAGGTGCACCCGACGGGGCTGGTGAAGCCAGACGACCCCGATGCGAAGATCAAGTTCCTGGCTGCAGAGGCCCTGCGCGGCGTGGGCGGGCTGGTGTTCGACGCCAACGGCAAGCGCTTCGCGAACGAGCTGGGCCGCCGGGACTACGTGACCGGCGAGATGTGGAAGAACAAGCCGCCCTTCCGCCTCTGCCTGAACAAGGCGGCCTCCGACGAGATCAGCTGGCACTCGGGGGCGAAACGCATATCCGTACCCGCGGCCTCGCGGGCTGGGGATACGGGGCGCTTTTTCGCGGATGCCCGCGCAGAACTTATGCGTGCGACCGCGTGTCCGCGGGATCGCGCCCCAGAATCCAGACCGCGAGGGCGCGGATGCGGACATGTTCGCCGCTCGTGAGGCACTGCAAGCATTACACTGGCCGCGGCGTCATGAAGTTCTACGAGAATGGCGAGGCCCTCGCCAAGGACATGGGGATCCCGGTGTCTGTGCTCGAGGAGACCACTGAGCTGCACTACCAGGCGGCAAAAAAGACGGAGAAGGACCCGGATGGCGGCTCCTGGCCTGCCTACCCGTCCGGCAAGTCTTGGGACGAGCCCAGTGGCAAGACGGGCTCCGGCAAGAAGTTCTACCACAACATCATCCCGGGCTCCGCCGTGAAGACCCAGCCGTTCTACGTCGCCATCATCACCCCCGTCATCCACTACTGCATGGGCGGCCTGGAGGTGGACGTCGACTCCGCGGTGCTGGACACGAAGAGCGGCAAGGCGATCCCGGGCCTGTACGCCGCGGGCGAGGTGGCTGGCGGCATCCATGGCAACAACCGCCTGGGCGGGAACTCCCTGTTGGACTGCGTCGTCTTCGGCCGCGTCGCTGCCAAGGCCGCGTGCAAGTACACGTTCGGTGCGGACGGCAAGTACCAGCTGTGCCCCGTCCCGAAGCAGATCAAGGATCTCGCGTAGAGTGCTCGTGGCCGCGCGTGCCGCCCCAGTCATTGCCTCCTCGTTCCCTGTTGTGTTCCCTCTGCCATCGTGGGAGAAAGAAGGAGCCGGCATAAACATACACTTTCGGAGCTGCGCTCGGATCTCTTAGATATGCGCTGGGCCCCCTTGGCGACGCCTCTGGCGCCGCCCCTGGCGCGCTCCGCGCGCCAGGCAGGGGCGTCCAGCGCTGACCCGAGAAACCCGCGCGGAGCTCCGAAAGTTTATGGTTATGCGGTTGCTTCTCCCTCTGATCATATCCTCGTCCCTTCTTCTCTCTTCCCTTCTCCTTGTCCCCTTCCTCCACTGTGGCAGCCCTCTATGCACTAGTCGTGTTGGAGGGCATCACTTCCGCGGTGAGTGAAGGCTCACTTGCTTCCGCGATCGGACGTCCGAGGAGGGAAAAACATGCGCTACCGCCGGCTCCCTCGCGTCCCAGGAAGAGGCCGTCCAGTTCATTCAACTGGCTTGGAACAACCCCCAGCACCCGAGAGGTGCAACATTCGAGTCGGAGGGCATCACTTCTGCGGTGAGTGAAGCCTCACTTGCTTCCATGATCGGACGTCCGAGGAGGGAAAAGCAACCGCTCCCGCCTGCCACCTCGCGTTTCAGGCGCAGGCCGTCCAGTTCATTCAACAGGCTTGCGCCTTTCCCTAGCACCCGAGAGCTGAGTGGGCGAGTTCGCAGAAGGAGAATTCTTCCCGTCGGCGGCGAGGCGGCGAACTCCGCTCCAGCGAGAAGCTAGAAAGGGACACTAATTAGCGAATTGGCCGGCGGGCAACGAGAAGGGGGGGGGGACGGCCGAGAGGAAGAAGGGACGCTCAGACGCCGCAGAAGGAAAACGTGCGCAAACAGCAACTTTTGGAGCTCCGCGCGGATTTTCTTGGCGTTCTGCAGGGTCCCTGGCGCGCGGAGCGCGCCAGGGGCAATGCCAGAGGCGCCGCAAAGGGGGGCCCAGCGCCGATCCAGAAGATCCGCGCGGAGCTCCGAAGGTTCATGCTCATGCCGTCTTTCCTGTCTCTACGAGTGCAGCTCCCTCCGCTTAGGCTTCCCCAGCGGTCCGTCCAGCAACTGTGCCCAGGCTCTGGAGCATCGTCACTGGCACGGGGACGCGGACGGCAGTTCCTGCCCCTCTTGAGCCGGGCTCGCAGGCGGCATCTCGTATCGGACGAAGGGCAGTGCTTTCGTGTGTCGGGGTGTTGGTAGCTTCAATGAACGAGGCAGCGTTATAGATGAAGAGAATGCAGTGGCTTCAAGCAGGCCCTTTGTAGTACTCATTGGCCTTCGGCCCTGCCTGCCAGCGTTCCCAGGTCTTGGGCCAGGGGCCTCATGGAGTCTCTTGGGGGACCCCTTCGAGGCCTCTTGGAGGTCTCTTGGGGGCCTCATGGGAGCCTCTTGAAGCCTTCTTGGATGCCTCTTGGGTGCCTCCTGGGGCCTCTCGGGGAGCTGCTCGTCGTCTCGGCGGCCTTCGTACTTCATTCTTTAGGCCCCTAGTGGAGCCGCGTTGCAACCCTCCTGGGCCCCCCTTGAGGGGTTGGGGGCCGTGTTGGGGCAATCTTGTAAGATTTTTGGGCCGTCCTCGATGCTCTTAGTAGACTGGAGAAGGCGATAATGCTGAGCTCGTTGAACACAGGCATTTTTCAACGATTGCGGCCTCTTGGGCCCCCCCCCCCCTACGGCACCAGGACGGGCTTCTCGGGTCATCTTGCGGCACTCCCAGAGTTCGGCGTCCTCATAGCACCTCCAGGGCCTCCAGGGCAGCCCAGCCAGAAGCCGAGGAGGTGTGCGAGGGCGCCCAGGAGTCCCGTGAGTTGGGGTTCTGGGCCCGTAATATGTATCATAATTTCTGTTCAGGACTCGAAGGGACTTGAGTGGAGAACAGTCAAGGAAGTGCCTACGGCACGGTGGCAGATCTTACAGCTTCTTTTGTATTTCCATGCGCATAATCTCGCTTGCACCCGCTCTCAACTACCGACCAGGATTTTTTAAAGGCGTTAGTGATGTAGATTGTTTCATCAATGCTACCGTTTTCAGTATTTTTTATGTGTGTTTCTGTATTTTCTGTTTTTCGTATTTGTAATGTTATTACTACTATTATTAGTTGTGGTTTTCTTTTCAAGTATGTACCTGAGCGATTTTCGTTTTCAGCGTCCTATTTTTGTTGTTGTTGCTATTGTCGTCGTCGTCTTCGTTGTTGTTGTGGTTATGGTAGTCGTTGTTGTTAATGCTGTTGTTGTCGTTGTTGTTGTTGTTGTTCTTGTGGTTGTTATTATTGTTGTTGTGGTTGTGGTTGTTGTTGTTGTTGCAGTTGTTGTTGTTGTCGTCGTCGTCGTCGTCGTCGTCGTCGTCGTCGTCGTTTTTTTTTGTTTGTTTATTTTGTGCTGCTAAATAATAATTATTGTTGATCCCCTCTCACCGGTGCATACGGTTTTTTCTCAATCAAAGTGTGGCCCTAGACGCTCGCACCATGTTTCTTGACAGGGAAAGTCTTGGTGCTCAAACTGTGTCCCTGGCCCCCCGGATTTCAACAACAACGGCTCCCGCCTGAGACTTCCTCCAACTTTACTCAGGACCCTCGCTCCTGAGGTTTCCTCACAATTTGCTCAGGATCTGTGCTCCCGCCTGTGACTTCTCGCAATTTAGTCAGGACCCCCGCTCCCATCTGAGACTTCCTCACAATTTACTCCGGAACGGCGCTCCCGCTTGAGACTTCCTCGCAAGCGAATCAAGACTTCCTCGCAATTTAATCAAGACCCCCGCTCCCGCCAGAGAACCATTCACATTTTATTCAGGAATTGCGCTCTCGCCTGTGACTCCCATGCAATTTATTCAGAAATCGCGCTTTCGACGCTCAGGAAACGCGCTGCGCCAAGGACGCCGTCACAATTTCCTTAGTAATCGCGCTCTCGCCATACTCAGGCATCCCGCTTGAATGTCCCACCCGCCCGACCCGCCCGTCAGGGGATCGCCCGCCCGTCGTGGGCTCCCGCCCGAGACTTCCTTTAGGAACGGCGCTTTCGCCTAGGACTTCCTCGAACGTTCACGCTCTTACCTTCCTGCTCCTCCTCCCTCTCCCTCTTTCCTCCTCCCTCCTCTCCTCCCTTCTCTCTCCCTCCTCTCTTCCCTCATCCTTATGCCTCTCTGCCCTATCCCCTCTCCCTCCTCTCCCTCCTCCTTCTCCCTACCCTCTCCTGCCTCTTCCCTCCTTCTTTCTCTCTCTCTCTCTCTTTCTCTCCTCTCTCTCTCTCTCTTTCTCTCCTCTCTCTCTCTCTCTCTTTTTCTACCTCTCTCTCTTTCTCTTTTTTCTCTTGTCACTCTCTATAATCAACCGCCCCCCTCTTCGCTCCTTCTCTCCTGGCGTTTTCCCTCTTCCTTCGTCCCTCCCCCTTCCTGCCTCCCACTCTCCCTCGTTCCCTCCCTCCTCTTTTTGCAGGGCCCACACCAATTCCACTGGCGGGTACATGCACGCCCACGAAGGATTGTCCGCCCGTTCAGGTTTGCCCGCCTGTCTAAGCCCGCCGCCCCCCGCAAAGAGAAATAATCTCCCTAAATGGGGGCGTGATCGAAGACAAAATGGGCAGGTATCAAGGGTGTGGGGAACTCGTTTTGAATGGCACGCCGGCAAGTAAAAGCGAACAGTCTTAGAAGGTTTTTTTTTGGGAGGGGGGCCAAGACGACCCAAGAGGACTCGAAGAGGCAGGAGATAGGCCGAGAGGTCCAATCATGTCCCAACGTGTCGCCGTGATTGTGCGTTGCACAGCATTGATCGTCGTTCCCCGCGGCCGTTGTCAAATCTCAAGGTTATTTTTGCTACGCCATCATGGGCGCACGGACCGTCCCCTTCCGAAGTGGATGGATGTTCAGGGCCTGGCCCACTTCCACCGCTTCGCTGCATGTCGCGACGATCAGCGTGGTGACTGCCTTCTCCGCCTGGGTTGTCCGCGGCGTTCTTTCGGACGCAGCGGAGTTTGCGCGGGCCGCGGGCATGGCGG